AAAGTCAACAAGGGACAAATACTGTGTATCATTGAAGCTATGAAGCTGATGAATGAAATTGAAGTAAGATTTCCTTCTTAGGCTGTTTTTATTCTACCATTTTATTTGAAACATTCTGGTTTTGGAATATTCTTTGCAAAATTGGAATAGTAGAGTGTGTTATATTTTGTTTACTTTATCTAATTTCAGGAAGCCAATTCATTGATATAAATTGGAACTGCTTTCTTAGCTAATTATTCTCAAATCTACTTATTATAAAGAGAAAAATATGGATGCTCACTTTCAGAAACTAATTCTCTATATATGGTCTGTCTTGGGAAAACGAAAGCTTACCCATATTGGATTTGAACTAATTGTATTCCTGTTTCAAACCATATACATGATCTCTTGCCAGTAGTACTTTTACTTTTGATAATTATTTGATAATTTCTGCCATTAAGGAAGGGTCCAATGTATAAGAAATTCTTGTCTTCTTTATTTAGAAACTTAATTCAATTGGATTGGTACATTAGAGTACATAATGTATTTTATTGAATGTTAGCAAGCTGATTCAGTTTGCTGATTTTTCCCTAAATATATGCCCCAAAAGGCTATTGCGAGAACACTTGGAACATTGTATACATTCCGATATATCGTGTGTCTCAATACACTGATACTGTTGTTCCAAAAAAAGGCTGAAAAATGGCTTGAAATAAAAAAAAACCTATCTTATTATATATAAATTATATTTAGAAAAGAATAAAGTGTATCTTAGCCATAAATAATAAAAGTTTAGCTTTGTCCTTTTGGATCTATCAAGGAATAATTTTGTCACGCGGTCCTTCGTTGAAGGAAGTTGCTTCTGTTGATGAGGGTGAGCCAAAATGAGTGAAAGCAAAGTAAGGATCTTTGTTCAAGTGCAAATTGTACAAGAGACTACGGGGAAAAAAAAAATCTTACATAACTTTGTTTGTTTAACCCCAAAATCCTTGTATGATTGTCATAGAGGAAAACACTGGAAAGAATGGATTGTTAAGAACAAGCAATATATTGACCGTTTGACATTTGTCTCTTCTCAGGAAGCTTTTTATCAGTAAGAAAATGCAATCTTTTACTTTTTTCCTGGAGTGATATCTTTTTCAAGCATTCTACATTATGGTTTGGCATCTTAGCACCAATGCACTTGTACCTGACGCTGTGATTCTAATTTTAAGTTGTAACAACCACATAAGTAGCAAGTAGTAGAATTAGAGTTTGAATTCGTGCATAGAAATGACCATATTTATGAGGTTTAGCAAGTATGGCTCTGTTAATGTGGTGTGGCAATGGCATACTCTTTCTATTATTAAGATAGAAAATACTAGCAAAATAAGCTTTCAAAATAAATCATCAATAACGGTAGAAAAAGATTCATGCTTGCTACACTCCCTTATAGAATCTGTCAATTTATAGGCGAAATTCAAACAATACTAAGCATCTCTAGTGGTTGATAGGACGTGATGTAGCAATCAAGACAGAGTTTTTCAAATAACATGTTCAAAGAGTGGCCTTTCTTCCCATTGTTGGTTTGATCTTCAGAAAACTCTATGAATGATTAGTTTGGAACTTAAATGGAACCTGTAATTGGTTATTCTTGCTTTCAGTCTGTATTTCTTTAATGTGTTTGTAATTTTTTTATTTGTTTTCTGACCTCTTGAATGTCTTTTCATGTGGATCTCCATTGTGCAGGCAAATATTATATGAGGTGCCTCAACATCTAATATGATCCAACTGTTAAATATCCTAATATCATGTTTAAAAATCAATTTGGATCCCACTGAACATTAGAGCGTGTTTTATAAATGGAGATTCTAAAACCACTAGATACCTGGTACAGAAGAAGAGCAGTAGAACTCTGAAATGATGAGTTAGAATTATATCAAAAGTCAACTTCTCTGCATGGTTTGTCTTGTTGACAATGTATGCTGATACAATCCTCATGATACTATAGATATATTTGAGCTTAGAAAAACATGCTCAGATTATTCTAGATTCAAGGCAAAATCTAGAAATATACGAAAGCAAAAAATAAAATTTTCTATTTGCGTTTTACAGATTCATCTATTACCTTCTGATGTGTCCCATTTTGTACGCTTCCTTTCCCCGCTGTTAATAGTCAAGACATAGAAGAAATAATTATCTTGAGAAGTTGTAAGTTTAGTGAAAGCATAAGAATTTAATCTTGGCATGATTTGATCTTGTGTGCTTTGATTGCATGATGGAACATATTTTACAAGTTAAGACTCCAGTTAAAACTTTCCATCTCTCTGCTCGTTATAATATTCTTAACCTTTCTTGATTTTGGTGTTTGAAGAAACTTGTATCATCTTAGTTTATTTGAGGTACTTGGTAAGCTTTCGATTGTATGCAAAACACCCAGTATGAATTTATTGTCTCATGATGAATGAGCCACAGCAGCTTTATGTTCCTCTGGTCATACAGTGGGAGTTTGCCGTATCCAGCAGTTTGTTCATTACTAGGATCATATCTGTAACTCCGATAGACAATGCTAAGTAGATCTTTGTATTTGATAATGTAGCTAAATGGTCCATATGTTTGACATCAGTGCATTTTTCACCCTTCTAAATTCAATTTATAATTAATTTGGCCATGTTAATGATGAGCTTTCTTATCCAATTAAAATCAACCTTTTTCATGTGCATGTTGTATTCTTGCTTAGCCCAGACATCTGGTTGGCAACCAAATGCCCAAAGTACACTGTATCTTTGATGAATCACACCATGTCAGCATTTTCTGTTTAAAATATTGTCATCACTATTTGAAATGACCCTCACTGTGCAGGCTGATCATGCTGGAACAGTAGTTGAAATATTGGTAGAAGATGGCAAACCTGTGGGCATAGACCAGGTTAGTATTCACTTTGGTATTTCATTCTTAACTAAATACACATCAATGCTGACTTTGTTTTCTTGGCACACTATATGCAGCCAATTTTCATCATCGAACCTTAAAAGTTCCCTGCAACGTGATGGAAGGCCCAAATTCTGATTCCTTTTGCTTTTAGTTTCTGCGGAGTCTAGTGGAAGCTAACATTGCGAGCGAATTAGTTGATGATAAATTGGTGTGAGTATTCAAGTTAATATTTAGTCACAAAAAAATGTCTCTTTCCTCTGAGTTGCAATAATTAGTTGTTTTCATGTTCTCGGGTTAACATCAAGTCACATTTGAGACTATGAAGTTGAGTTGTGTTGCTTATCTTCCTTATCTTCTATCTTTTTGACCATTTTGCTGTGTCACATAGATTTTAATTCTAGTCAATTTATCTATATTTTAGATTCTATTTGCTTTGGCAGTCAAAATATGATTCCCTTGCTAAAGAATTTGCTACGATGGGTTTTTGGTTGTGGCTAAATCAAAATGTACCAAATATTTCTGGTCCATTATTTATTGCAGAAGCAAGGTTTAATTTTTAGCTAGCAAAGCAATTGATTGTAGCCTTCAAAAGAGGGTGAACCCTTCTTTGCAGTGCAGCATTACTGTCCTAGAGTTTGCACTTCCAAGGGAGCCTTCCCTTCTGTTCCCGATGTTGGTAACTATAACACTTTGCTCTGCCTTGTTTTGTTCAAGAAGAAATCTTCTAATAGCTTCATGGCTGGTATGACCACCCCAGGCATATTTCCATGAAGAAAGATCTGAATTTTACACTTATATATGCTAAGCTCACATTACTTGCAAAGAGCTCTGATTGAATAACTGATGATTTTGTTGTTATATTATCTTTCTTCTGTAGGGCAATAATGGAGTTGTAGAGGAAGAAACAACTCATCTGGGTCTTTTAGGTGCACATATAGAAATCAAATACTTGGTAAACCCCACAAGATGTTAGCAGTGGCATCACACCACCATTTGACTTCCTGTTACTGGTAGGTGCTCATTATAGAGCCAGCTTTTCTCTGTTTTGTGATACTAAATTCCTTTTATCATGGTCACTAATTTGAGCCCAGTAGGAATTGGATTTATCGCAAAGAAACAGTTAGTAGCTACCCCAAAGCTATTAAAAATATTTATTTTAGGAGACTTTGTCTTTTAACAAGAGTAAAAATTATAGAAACAAAAAAAAGAAGGAATTGTGGTATTTAGCTTTAAAATTATAAGATATATAATGATATATGTTTGATGGGTTCCTTTTTGTATCATAATATTGAGACTTTGAGATTTTATGGGTACTAAATTAGAGGATAAGGGTTGTTATCCCATCTGCTTGCACCACAAAAATGATGTATGTGTATTTATGTACACACACATTTGTTTTGTTTTGTTTTGTTTGAGAAGGTCTCTTATCCGGATGATGATTAGTAGCGAACCACTCATATGCTGCCATGTTGGCTTGTAGACGAAGAGTTGGATTTCTGTTAGTGACTGTTTCATGTGGAACATGGTGGCCAATATTTGTGATATTGGTGATGGTGATGATGATGGTGGTGTTGCGATAGCATGGGATTTGATGGCCACCCCTTATCCCATGAGTTTAGGTAGCGATCACAGTCTGTGCGGATAGCAATAGCTTCGGATCGGATCTTATTGCCACCCATGTCATGTCACACGAATTCCAATTTTGTGGTGACAGCAATCTCTTGAATGTATCATTCGGTTCATATCGAGTTTAGCTTGCGATGGTGACATATTTGGTGGCACTTTGATAGGCATCATCGCAATGACATCCCATCCGATTGCTGCCACTCATGTCTCGTATGTTTTAGCTAGTCATGAGAATCTGTGGTGATAATATAATCTTTATAATATAATTGTTTCTTTTAACTGTCTTTATTCGACCTAACCTAATTATTTTTCTTGACATAGTCATAGTGATCACAATCTGCTAAGGTATCTATCCGCAAAAAAAAACCATATTTATTTACACGAGCATTTTATGTTTGTCCAATGAATTATTTGATTGCATTGAGACGAACCGTAGTGCAAGATTGCATTGGATGGCTTGTTCTTGTAGAGAACATAGAACAGATTACAAATGCAAGACCATGCTCCATCAAACCAGTGTAGTAATACATCTCACATCAAGTCTTTTACATGCAAGAAAAAGAACACTGGTAGCTACATCAACTGCACGACTCCAGTGTATCTTAAACTAGAGAGAGACATTGTCATTTTCTCATCTCTCCTACAATTGTTCATTGTTTTTTACAGCCAACGAAACGGTACAGATGGTAATAGTTCATAATACGTAAAATTTCATATGTTTAATCATAGCATATTGGTCCTCGATAATCTGGCGGCAGCGTGTAAATAAGTACGAAAATATTAACTTGATTTCGTGGTCTCAATGGCGACAACTAAATCATCATACTTGGCACCTGTCACTTCCTTTACCACCTTGCCATCCTTGAGAATCTTGAAGGTCGGTACAACCTTGATGCCCAATTCCTTAGCAAGGGGCTGCAATGAAAATTACAAAGATCAGAATGGATTAAGTAGAAGGCGAGAACCCCATATAAGAATAGCATCAGCATACCCTGTTTTCTTGATTGCAGTCGAGCTTCATAAATACAACATCAAGATGCTTCTCGGATAATTCTTTAAATTTGGGGGCCATCACCTTGCAAGGGCCACACCTGCACCACAAAGATTTATAGCACCAACTAGGAAAAAGGAAAAGATGAATGTGCTCTTCTGCAACACGTAGGATACCATAGATCATACCTTGAACAAACAAACTAATCATGTTTAAAGAGACTGGTGAAAAATGAGCTTCTAACTAGATATCTTCATTTTCTTCAAAACTAAACAACAAAATCTAGAGTTCTAAATAAATATCAAGAATAGCTAGTGTAGTTCAGGCAATGTAAAGTACATGTTGTTAGATGTGCAAGCCTCACATCAGACAATTCACACCGATTAAAGAAGACGGGAAAAACAATGCTGCAACTTATAGATGAACTGGACAACCCACAAGCAGATGCAAATAATAGCTTGCAAGTGATGGCAAAATATGGAATTGGGAATTTTTGCAACGAGTGTTTACTCTAGAAATCATTCTATGTTCAAAATACCCTTCTTATGTATTCATATATAATCATGTAAATATTTTGCATATATGCTCTAGCATATATATTAAAGGATGTAACATGTTTTCTTGTACGTATAATCTTGCAAATTATACTGTTAGACATTAAACCCTTTTTAAGTTAATATTCACATATCCTTGTCACACATTAGACCCCTTAAATTAGTTTCAATATATTCTTGTTATGCATTAGACCTTCATGTTAAAACTCATTATCAAATACATATGCTCATTTCTTTGAGCCCAAAGACTATGGAGTTAAAATTGGGACTTACAACACCAGAAAGTGCCTATTGTGAGTTCTTTTCTGAACAAGTCTATTGTGTTATTGAAGGAACTTTTAAATACTCTTTTTTCATCAATATCCTTTCAAATTATACCCAACAGTTGACCAACTGTAATGAAACTTTTAAAGGAAAAGTAAAAAATTGAGATGTCACACACCAGACATCATTTTCACATGGTTCTCTGACAAATATGCATAGGCTGAACTTCTCTGTGGATATGTAATTGGAAATAAATATACATCAACCATATATAAATCAGCCTAATAAATGAAGTACAAAATTCGAAAGATTTACTAGTTCAAGACAGGTTTGAAACTTGTACCAATAAGAGAATCTGCAGGCTTACAATTTCAAAACAAGGCATACATGGACAAGTTTTTCATATGCACAATATCAAGGAAATGTTCATTGCATATTAGACCCTGCAAATTACTCTTTACAAACACATCCTCGTGGAGATATAAGTAACCTCTCCTAAACTTCTTTAGCACAATTTTAGGTAACAAAAGCTAAAATGGTAGCATGATTCTGACAACTTAGCCCAATGCAATTGTGAGATCAGCTGCTTACTTATAGGTCAACACATTTTAAGAAATAATATAGATGTATAGGATGTATAGACGAGAATGTTAAGATGGATGTGTAGGTTACTAGAAAAGTTTAAACAAAGTTGTCATTTTGGAACAACTAAGGTAGAGTGGACAATTTAGGTTAGAGATCCAAGAAGACAAAGACGAAGGCCTATTATTGGAAATGACAAAAAAGATTTGATACTGACAAGCTTTAGTGCAATGGTAAGGTTGCTCATTTACGCTTAGGAGACTAGATTCAAGTTACAAAAATAAATTTTCTTCTTGGACAGTAAGATGCATACATTGTCACAGTCTAACCTCATTTTAACAAAAAAAAAAAAAATTCATGAATCTTAATTTGACTAGTGATATTGCCACCCTCATCAGAGTTCAATGGTGAGAAAAACAAGACTCATGCAACTAACCTCAATATAGTTTTAGACCTCTCAGCTTGTTGTTTGTGTAAAATATTATTTTGGTGATGGACCCAGTTCCTTAAAATTTGGCTTCAGCATGGTACATTTATTGTTCACTGACTGATCATTATCAAACATTTCAAATCTTTTACTTGTGGATTGAATGTACAGGTTCAAAAATTCTGATAAGAATCGACGCCACTGTATTTATGTAGATGAATCCAATCAAATTTTTGTCTCAGACAGACAACTTAGCTAGGACATGAACCATATACCCTGTGGGATTGACCACACCAAAACATTTGTAACAATCTTTGTTAGGGACCAAAATGTTGGTAACAAGGGTAGATACATCTTATAGGGAGTGGCATGGTTTAAAGGCAGGGAGCGCCTAGGAGACGTGTATAAGTATATATATATTGGACTGCCTTGTGATCAGAAGATCCAAAAGCAGGCAATCTTTTATTTAAACTAACTTTATCTTATGTATGGAAAGCAGAAAGGTTTTAAACTCCACTTTCGGCAGACTTGTTAGAAATAAAGAATTGCCATATTTCTTAAAGTACAGAATACAGTTTATCAAAGATGGAATCACAACTCCAAAAATTTGAAGTCATAGTTCCAAATATAAGGAATTGTGGTTCCTATAAAGTTTATAAAGTGGGTATTTTAGGGCATATGCAATGTTCCTAGTACCAACCTCAGAACATACTGCTTTATGGGAAGAACAAGGATTTGAAAAAAAAGGATATGCAATGTTCATAGTACCAACCTCAGAACATACCAACATCAGAACATGCTGCTTTTTGGGAAGAACAAGGATTTGAAAAAACAAGGATTTGGGAAGAACAACCTTAAAATTATTCAAGTAGAATCGACACCACATAAAAGTTCTTTTTAGTATGAATTTAAGTGTCTTCCAACAGCTTCAGCTATTCAGAATTCTTAAACGGACTGTCTTCCTTTGAATTACAACTAAAAATAAGGAATCTAAAAACGACTGATATATAATCATTAACGCTCGAATTAAATGTTGCAATTATAAGGTCAATTGGGCGTTCTAAGAGGTTCAAATACATTGTCATACATCTATTGAGAGAGAAAAATTAAAATTACTTACTGATCCAACTATGGATCTTAACTGATACCATCAAAGATGTCAATCAAAAGTAGCCCAACCGACGAGACGATACGGAATGCTGGTCATTACCATATCAAAAGATCCAGTTTCACATCGATGTTGGCCAGCAAATCAATCGATCGTAAGACAGAAATTAGGTTCGCAGAGGGAGGAACGGGCCGTAACCTACCACCGGGTGTACATGTCGAGGACGACGACCCTTTCGCCGGCGGCCTTGACAAGGGGCCAGAAGGTGTCCTTGTCGACCTCCGTGACCTGCCCGACGGCCGGCACGGCCGTCTCCAAGTTCGACGTCGCCACGACGGCGGCCCTTCGGCTGCGGCCGGAGGCGGTCAGGGGCTCGCCTGGGGACCGCCCGTGGGGGCAGCCCAGGAACCGGCTCAGCGAGGAAGGAGGGTGGTTGCCACAAGAAGACGACGGCGATGACGTGGTCGATCGAATCGAGGGGGAAGAGAGGGCGATCCGAAGCGCCATTGGCGATTCTAGAGAGAGAGAGAGAGAAAGAGGGAGAGAAGGGGAGAGAGAGAGAGAGCGCGCGCTTTTGTGGACACAAGGCGAAGTGAGATGTCGAGCGTGTGGCTATGGGGCGAGAAATATAGGATCCAAAGATGGATGTTGATATGACGGATCTACCCCTGTAAGAGTCTGTTGGAGCGGTTGGTGTTGCTCTCGTTCTTAGGAGACGAGGGTGTTGCGGGAAATTTGGGCCTCCGGTTCGTTCCACCCGCAGAGAGGCGGGCAATTTGGCGCGTAGTGGCGGCGATATTTTATCGGACCAGTCTCATTGACGCGGTCTGATCCAAAAATAACGGATTCGGATGCAGCATGAAATGCGGATTTCACAGACTTGTCCCGTTATAAATTCGGGTCGGGTCCGAATAACCATGTAGGTACTAAAATCGGATAGGATCCAGTTGGACTCTGATCGAATTTTCATATTTGTAATGATGTACAACAATTATATTATTTGATTATTTATTTAAACAAGTTGAATCAAACCAATTGGTATTGAGTTGATCCATGTTAAATTCGGATCAGAATCAGATCCGGGTTTAACATTTTTTAAACTATAAAAATCATACTAATCATACCCGATCCGAACTTTTTTTGGTCACCTTTGCCACATTAAAAATGCACATCATTTGATTCACTCACTAAAAGTACTATTCATGGCTTTCATGAGCCGTGAGCACAGCTTCTTCACTTTGATGAAACTCTCGACGACCAGAGGAAACCAGTCCATCTACAGAAGTAGCAGAAAGATGAATCACAACAAGAACACCAGCGTTTGTTCATGTTAAGATCACAAGCTTCTCAAGTATTTTCATCTGCAGAAGTAGAGCGGAAAGAAGAATCACAACACTAGTGTTTTTGTTCACGTTAAGATCACAAGCTTCTCAAGTTTTTCTACCCAGTTGCAGGATATGTTACCTGATATTCCCAGCTTGAAGCTCTTGGAAGATTTCAATGTGTGTGTGTGTGTGTGTGTGTGTGTTAAGAATCAGATGTGACATTTGACATAATTTGTGATAGGTGCAGAGATTAAACACATAAGACTTCAACTACTAGCCGCATTGGCACAGATCCAAAATAGCTGGCTGAATTATCAATTCATTCTCAAAGATGAGTTGAAGCATTTTGGTGCAGACACAAACACCTGATGCTCATTCGAGATCAACCATGAAGGGCAAGGTTTGAAGCACACATTTGCTCTTCCAATTCCCTTCCAGAACTCCTGCCATCAGAGTAGCTACATATCATAAGCACTTGGGTTCCAAGATTCACTAAAATACAATTAAACTAGAGAGTTTCATCAAAGTTCTGCCCAATTTACCATAAAGTAGCAAAATTCTGCTTACCCTGGCAACATGCATATATTTTGTCAGCTCAAATCATTCCTGAAAACTTGAAACAGAGAAACTTAAGTTTTGTCAATATGACCATTAATAATGAGGTCCTAAGAATTATATTACCTGCAGGTCTGGTGACAAAACCTGAACAATTTTCAGTCGTTTAGTCATTGCCAAAAATGATCAAAAAGCTGAAATCTGGAAAAAATTATGTCGGTTCAACATTGTCCTAAGTTTTAGAAAACTTCTTATCTACCAGCACATCTACAAGACATCCACAAGTTAGTCTGAACTGCCTGACGAATGAAAGTGGAAGACAAGCTACTAAACTAAGTTAGTAACCCACATTTGAATGCTATCACTCATACTGCTTGGGTTTGCCCTTCTGGTTCCTTTGCAGACATCCTGAAAACAAAAAACAATCATCAGAAGAGCTGCATGATATAAGCACTAATATCCTAAGATTCATATGCGAACAATAAGACAAGACCATTCAAGCAAAGCTCCATCCATTAATCACAAAGTTTATGGATGTTTTGCCTCTCATTACCTCTGAAAACTGACAAGTTTGTTGTCTGTACAAACAAAAACTTAGATTAGCTAAAACATGGTGAAATACCTGAACAATTTTCAGTCAGTACAGCATTGCTGAAGATACCTCAACAATGTTGTCCGTTCATAATTGCCTAACAATGCCCTAAATATTAGATAAATTCACATGCACCAGCAAACCCACAAGACCTCCAGCACCAGGATACCATTCAGACTCAGAACAAGTATCACTTCATCATCTTTGATTTGCCATGCACATCTCCATCGGATTTCACTATTCCTTGATGATCATTAGTTGATTCCATACATTTCAGCAATCAAGAGAAGATATATATATATTACTCAGATACAATAATTGCCTATAGATTACATACAGAGAAATGATTCCTGCATATACACAAAAACTCGATGCATTACTCACTCACAAATACAAGAAGGTAAACATTTTGCAGTGTATCAAGTCCCAGACTCTCCACTGCATACATGTGGTCTTCTACCGGCATAATCGATAGTATCATCACCACTAAGAACTGTTATAAGCATTGATATGATAATGCACTGGTTGGAAAAAGAATAGCCCTCGATTCTCTTACCAACATCGGATGCTCTCTCATCCGATTTCATTGGATCGCTTGCACATTTTGGGGGTGCCGACTCCATCATCATTCAACCAAAAAAAGAGCAGTCTTTCAGCTCGAATGAAAGCAGAGCCTCACAGGTCCGCAACACACAAGAAGCGCACACATAAGCAAGCCAAAGGCAAGCTATTTAGGACCTTTACTAACGGGGACGGCAGGGCTCGTTTCAGACGGCAACGTGTTGAGGATCGAGTTGATCGAGACGGTAGTGGAGCTCACCGGATTGGCTCTGCCGATCGAAAGAAAGGAGTTAGACGAAATGCCAAGACAGATCGAACAAATCTAAGTATTGGGGACGATGGAGGAGAGGTGGACGCGAACCTCGGCGACGAAGGCGGGGGCGCAGTCGGGAGGGAACTCGAAGAGGGAGAGGGTGAAGCGCTTGTCAACGACGCCGACGTCGAAATGGATGATGCCGGAGGCCTGGTCGTCGAGGCGGATGGCGCGGACGGGGAACCAGAGGAAGAGGTCCTGGGCCGCGACGCCGGAGAGGCCAGCGATCTGGCCAGGCGAGATGGTGCCAACGATGCTGGCGTTGTACCGCACCTCGCTCTCGAACTTGGCCGTGCACGGCGCGTACAGCCGCGCCTCGAACCGCCCCTCCCCGTCCACGTAGAACTCCCGCACCCCCTTGGGCAGCAGCCCGATGGGCAGGCCGTGGGACCGCAGCACCTCGTACGCGCTGCCACCGTCGCCGCCGCTCGCCGCCGTGACGGCCGCGCCAAAGAAGAAGAAGAAGAAGAAGGAGAATAGGAGAAGGAGGCTCATATTGAGTTAGGTTTTCTTGTTCCACAAGGTGTTTGTTCCGGTTCTGAGGAGAAGGGGAGAAGAAAGAAGGGATGCTGAGGGTCCACAACAGCGGTGGGGACGGGCGGGGCCCCGACGTCGAACACCTCTCCTGTGGTCTCTCACCGTAGAAGGAGAGGAGGCGTTGGTGGTGGTGCATTTATTGTTGGTTTGGGTTAGAGGGAGCACGTAGTACAAGCAGACACGCGGGCTGTTGGAAGCGCAGGAGGGCACTCCACTTGAAGAACACTTAGTGTTTTGGCCAGCTTTGCCTACCCACCTAAACACGGAGGACGCTTTGCTTGGCCGCCGAAGGCATCTCAAGGGCATTTTATCGAAAAAGCTTTTTTTTTTTTTTTTTTCATTTTAGGTAATTTATCATATTTGATTTTTACTAGTATTTGATTTATTCCTATTAGTCAGTTCAAGTTGAAGTATTTGATTTATTCATTTTAAGTCTTAGATTACTATCTTTTTTTTTTAATCATCTCGCTACCCCCGTTCAACCAATGCAACAGCAATGTCTCATCATTATCAACCTTCTTACCGGTGGTGGTCACAATCGTTGCGATCTTTGTCGCTATCACCAATAGGAACCTAACCTAGCGTCAGCACGAGCCTTAGCCTAAGCAAAAACAACAATAGATTGTTGTTGCCGAAGGAGGGGGGAGGGGGGAGGGGGGGGGGGGGTTGGGTGTTCGTATTAAGCCTTAGGTAGTAGTGTCATCGTCGTCAGCTTTCTACTCCATCGTTATCATAGGAGGTCATTAAGAACAAGGCAACAGGTTGATGTCACATTCCCACCAATAATATGTTAGCCTTTTGTTGATTGTTATTACTGTGGTTGTTAGTTAAGCGTTAAGCCTCAACGATTAGTGGAGCAATCGAGGTATAGCCTAGTTATCGATAATTGGTCATTGGCATTGTCCACCTTCCTATTGGTCATTATGTTTGTGGCTTTTGATTGAGCCTTGGTGATGAGTAGTTGCCAACATCAATATTCTTTTTCCTATTGGTGTCCATCGTCGTTATCATCGATGAAGCCATCTATTAAGCCTTGATGACTAGTTAGGCAATAGAGCCATAGTGTATTTGTTACCAACATCCTAAGAGGTGGCCATTGTTGATATCTTTATTCCTAATGGACATTATTGCCTTCAACGAAGCCTTGCATAGGCTCATCAATCAATTACTTCTGAATGAAATATTCGGTTTTCTAGATGATATGGATACTTTTAATGAAACACTACATTTGTCAATATTAGAATCGGAAGTAATTTTAGTAACTGCTCATTCGATATATAAACAAGTTGAACGATCTACCTCTTGATAAATTCAAATATCAAACTTTGTTTTGAGAAGTGGTCATGAGTTAGAAGACTAAATTGAAGGATCTTCTCCTAGGCAACCTCAAATTTACAACTTTGATTTGAATAAGATATTTATAATGTATGATAATAAAAATAATTATAAGATATTTGAGAAAGAATGGGCTGAGTAGAGAATAAGATAAGAAGTCAAGAAGATATAGGTCAGAATATATTTGATGCATATGATATTATCAATAATTTTATTGAATTCAATTTAGATATGTATGAAAACCTATTGGAGGATATAATCATAGAAGAAGATAGACATCAATCTTAGTGATTTAACTCCCAATTCATATAAACATGAGTTTGTCATCAGTGGCCTATACATTGAACATGTAATAATTTGTGACTATTCAT